CCTAATAAATTTTTTTTTCATTGTTTTAAATTTTGAAGACCCCCCTACTATGTCACCTGTAGAACAAGACATTTCTTTATTTATAAAAACCCGCCACTTTTTTTTGGTCCCTTTGCGGCCCCCCCCTTTTTTTTTTTTTTACTCCTGGCAACTGCCTGGACTAGTCCCTGCAGTTTTCTTGGCAAGGTTTTTTGGAAGTGATTTGCTCTTGCTTTTTTCCTAGGGCTGAGAGGGTATGACTGCCCCAAAGCCAGGACTAGAACTCACAATCTCCTGGTTTCTAGCCTGATGCCTTAACCACTACATTAAACTGGCTCTCATACAGAGCTATCGTTATGAATTATATTTTACAGACAGCCTTCAAGTATTGGAAGATGGCTATCAGGTCTTTTCTTAACCTTCTCTTCTTTAGGCTATGCATACCCATTTCCTTTAATCATTCTTTGTAGGATTTAGTCCCCAAGCCTCTCACCATTTTAGTTGCTCTTCTCTACACTCTTTCCAGTTCTTTGGTGTCCTCCTAGTAATTTTAAATTTTAAAATTCAACAAAAGAAATCAACATAGCGATATAATCAAAGCAGTCAATTAAAATGGTAAACCATTGCCCTATTAGCCATTTAATCAGTTTTGATTGACAACAACCCCCAAAAGTTGGGGGACAATTGTACTATTAGTTATACTTATATAATGTGTAGTGGGCCAGATTTAAGTCAAGGAGCATCTGCATATATCCTGTTGTTGAGTTAGAGTCCCAAGAGTATCTCATAGGAAAAAAAAGTGTATCTCATAGGAAAGAGAATTGGCATGCCTTGAATTCAGTGCCTGGTAGAAAGGAAAGGGGAAGCTTTCTTACTTTACTTGGAAATTGTTAATTCTTTGGGGGAATTACATTTTTTTGAGAATCTTAGGCAGTGATGGCATTCAATTATTCCTACTCCCAAGGAAAATGAAGGGTTTCTCTGTAGGAGTCAACAGTGCAGTATGATTGTAAAGCTTCATCCTTCCTCTTTTTTTCCCGCATAGTCTTGGTATTTGTTTGCTGCAGTGCAGGTTTGGATAGCTGTGGGGAAAAAAGGCAGGTAAATCCTTTTCAAGATTTCACAAGTTGCTTTTGTCATTTTCACAGGCTGGGGAGTGAAGGAAAGAAACTAATGGGGTGTAAGAGTTCCATCTCCTTTTAAAAATTTCCTTCCAAGTTTCTAGTAAAAGTAGGATTCTTCTGTCCGTTTTTCAGTGTGGCCTAGGAACTGATTGTGGAAGGCTTTCTGATTTGTTGACCAATGTGTGAACTTGCAAGCCAGGAACCCATTTTCATTTTAAAACTTAATAACTGCAGAATTGGAGAATTCATTTAAAGGGCATTCCACCTTGAGAAGTAGGATCTTAAAACAGGAGAAACATGTATTAATTTAAAATATTTTATCTTGCTTTTTCTACTACATATCCCTCCTTTTAACTAAAAACTGTTCAGGAATGCTGAAACTCATATTAGTAACACTGCTGGAATCATTTTCAAGAAACAATTCCTCTGTGGCTGGGAAATCTGACTATTCTCCATCATAGTGGACTTCCAGCCATCTGCAGGACACATTTTTGCATTTATCTTCAAAGAAAATCTGTGTTTCTGTCTTCCAGCTATGTTTATTTAAATGAAATGGTTCAGCTTTCCATATAATAAGATAAACAGTGTCAATCACTAGATCTAATATAAATGCAGGTAGATCATTTCAGTTTTTCAACCGGTTGGGTATAGCTATAGTTCATTTATAGACCCTGAATTTGGATATGAACTTCCTGGCTTTATTTCAAATATTTTTATATGCTGTAGTATAGTAAACATGTGGCTAGATCTGTAACTAGTGAGTTTATTTCTTTTGTTCTTTTCTCCTTATGCTGCTTGATGAGGTTCAGCTCAGTGGCTTCCCACTATTCAACCAAGGGAAATAACTCTTTCCTGGCAGAGAGCTTGAAACACACTGCTCAAGCTATCTTGTAAACTGCTAAATGCAGGCAAGCAGGCTTTTAAACTTTTCACTTGACTTGGCTCATTTTCTGTGCTTCTCTCAAGACAGTCTCTGATGTTTAGAGTGGATCACCTCTGTGGTCTCATTCCTCTGCATATGCATTTGTGGTCCCTTCCTTATTCTTGCTCATCTGAACCCTGCTGGGTAAATGTGACATCACCCTGACAAAATGATCAGACAGGCAGCTGCACTATTTTATAAATACTCTTCAGAGTAGAAGAAAGGGTTTCAGGTTTGTTTTGTACTGATTCTGCTACGTGACTAATAGAAAGGCAAGCTGAGTTTTCATGTCGAAATTTTGCAAGGATTGCTCAGTTGTGTTGGAGCACAAGAATCTTTGTAAGCTGTGTATGTCAGCAATAGTCATTCTTAACTATTGGTCTTCAACAGCTAGAATCTGTGAAAGCTTCATAACCCTTGTAGCTAATAGTCACAAAAAGATATGTAACTTTGTTGTCTATTTCTTTTTAGAGCCATCTGTATTAATGAGCATCAATGCATTTTACTTATTTAATCATATTTATATGGCTGCCCATCTCATGAAACATGGCTCTGGGCGGCATACAATCAAACCATAAAAAAAATGTTAAAAACGTTCAGTACATTAATATTATTATTAAAAGGCTAGGAGGGAGCATCAGATATTACAAACAATGGAGCTATCTTGTGACAGTGAATTCCATAAATCAGAGATGGGCAATCCATAGTCAAACTTTCAGCCTCTTCTTCTTCTAGACAGTTCTCCTTTTTCTACATAGGATTTTCTTATAGGGATTATTTCTCAGTCATTTCTCTGTCCTCTTGTTTTCCACTGTTAATCAATCAAGATTATGCTGTTGAAAACTGAGCATCACTTCTTTAACCACTGTATTTTTCCCTGTGATGCATCACATCTCTTCCCCCATGAGACAGGCATGGTGGATTTGAAGCCTGTCTGGCTGACCCGCCCACTTCTGTTGTCAAGGGAAAAAAATTGCATTAGCATGTTGCAACCCTTTCTTATGGAAGACTAAGAATTGAAAGGACTGCAATGACAGGTACCATGGCATAAGCCAAGGATTTGAAAACTTTCATTTGGTGCAATCATTTCATGGTTGGGGTGTCATCTGTAATCAACTCAGTGGGAGTCTCCATAAATAATACAACAGTTGTTGAATAGCCCACTTGATAGTTAAGACTTTCTTTTCAATTTTTAGTCATCTGAGAGGCTAGAAGTTACTGGATGCTTTTCTTTACCTAGGCATTGTAGCAGGATGGCTCCTTTATTGTACTTGAAGCATGTATTTTAACTATAAAGTCATTGAAAATCTGTTGCCCAAAGGTGTGCTCTTTACATAGCAAAACCTTAAGCATTTGGAAGCATAAAACTTCTTCCCATGAAGACTAGAGAATCTATCTAGGGAAATTATTTTTCATGGTCAGTTGCTGCCATTGAAAACTGGTGTTTTTTTCCAATGATGTATTTACCAATAGCTCTTGAGGAGGTCTAGGGATTGTGAGGTAGCAGGCCTATTGTAGCTGATCCATACTTGGGGCATGGGATAGGTATCAGACTGGGGAATTTGCTTTATTTCCTGGAAGTCTATAAAAAATGAAAAACAAATTTACTAAGATAAAAATACACTAATTAAAATAAATTTAAATTCATTAATTTAAATTCATTAAAATAAAACTAAGAAACTAAACCCAGCTGATTCTGTGTGGGCTGTGGAATTTTCTCAGTCATACCCAATTCTTTCATTGCTTCTGCCACCTTTTTAATTACCTGAATGATTTTATGCAATTATGGCAGAGCTAGGAGTTCACTGCTAACCTCTGGTTATAAATAATATTACAGTATTGGGCCTGTTGGGCTTTGGCTAATTGACCCAGCTGTTTTAACCATTCCCTCATATAATGGACTTCTGGTTGTTCTTACAAGGGGTTCTTGAATACCAAAAATTAAACTGACAGGAAGGAGATGTATGATAAATACTCCTTCCTTCTTGGTGTAGGAATAAGAAGCCTATCCTTTTACAACAGGTTTTATTTAACTGTGCTTCTACAAACACAATTCCAGTAGTTTGGAGAGCTTATCATGTTCGGTTCTAAAGGAGCAAGTAAGGTTTCTCCCACTTACTTTACTACAGGAAGGAAAAATGACACTGTTAGGAGGCCCAAAAATCATGGCTTTTTACAACTTTTCCTCCTTTTCTTCAGCCCCAGCAAGAAACTCATTCACAATTTGTGTAACTGATAGGAGTGTCTGTTATGCTAGAATGTAGATCCTTTGCTCTTATCAGCCCCCTTGTCAATTTTCCAGGCATGGGCTGCAATTAGCCACCTCTAGGCCAGTTACCTTCAGAGTGTCAGCTCCTCACATCCTCTTCTCCCTCACCCTCCTTCCTTTTCATTTTTTCCATTTGTCCTGTGTAAAGATTAAAGTCCTGCTGTAGTTACTAAACTGACAGGGTCATGCAGTTGAAAAACGAACAGTGCTTGCTTTTCCTTCTGTAACATATCACATTCCCATCTCTACTTTTTCTGATATTCCATTCCTAGAGGCAGTGTATTTTGAGCAAGAGAACCAGTTTGGTGTAGTATTTAAAGGCATGGGCTGGAAAATGGGAGACCATGAATTCTAGTACTGCTTTAGGCACAAAGCCAACTGGGTGACTTTGGGCCAGTCACTCTCTCTCAGCCCTAAGAAGAAGTCAGTAGCAAACCACTTTGGAAAATCTTGCCAAGAAAACTGCAGGGACTTGTTCAGGCAGTACCAGGAGTCAATACTGACTCAAAGGCAAAAAAATATAAATATAAATAAAATCTTGAGCTACTGGATAGTAGAAATAAACCAAAAGGAAATGGTTGTTTTGCTTTCAAATTCTGCTTAAGTGTTTCTGAGAGACCTCTGATTTTTGTTGAACTAAATAGTCCTTTGATATCATCAGCCAGGTTCTATGCTCTTTCAGATTAATACAAACTGTCTTGTTTATTGTCTAGCTCTTGCCTTAACTCTGTTTTAATAATCAATTGGAATCAATGAGAAGAGCTGTGCACAATTCCTAATACTGCCTCTGATTTTCTCCACACTAATAACTCTGAGGATTTTCATTAGTAGTATGTGGTGTCATCAATCAGCTCTGGCCCTCAAACAGTGCTGCCAGCTCTAGCCTCAGTATATGATTTTCTTGAGCATTATGCCAGTCATTGACTCCTGACCTGGACTCTTCCTTCAGACCCCTGCCCAGTTGCTATGTTGATCGTACATAAGGGAAGAAACAGCCACTTATCACTGATCAGATTAGTCCTCCTCCTCAACGGCAGGGCTGCCCATGGGAAGCCTTAAAGGGTCTCTTTAAAACCAGGTCTGCCTCTGTCAGCCTTACCACGTAGACTAGACAGGAAACACAACCAGATAAACTAATTCTATTTTATTGTAAAGCTACATTAACAGAATCTTGCAAATCTGAAAGTACAATTCTCCTGCTGTCACCTTTACAGCCCGAGAACTTAGGGAGGGTCCCTTCTGAGCCTCTTGCTTTGCCCACTATCCAGCTGCAGACTATGCTGTCTCTTATTTGACCATTCCCTTGGCAGCATCTCTTCATCCCATCTCCCAAGGTGAACATACCATTACAGCCTCACCCAACCAAGACAGTTTGGGGTGATACAACAGTTATTTCAGCTGTTATGTGCTACTACTACTTTTTTGGCAAGATAAAAAGGAGGAAAAAGCAGTTCTCTTTCTGACAATTGTCAAACAAGGGCATGTTAGGCCCAGTATCTGGTAGGTAGACCACTTGGAGAGAGGTCTAGGTCTTACGAGGCATGTTAAAACTCCACATGGTATAAATTGGCAAAATAGTTATTAAAACAGTATCTGAATGTTCTGCATCTGGGAAGACTTCAACCCACAACTTAGATTGGGCTTGGGTTCTTTTCTTCCTTTCTTTCCCCAGAGCTAGCCACTAATCCCAGGGAAATTCAAAACCAAAAAAGCCTTGAGTAAACTCGCTCATTATTTAATCTCAAGGTTGGGGGGTTCTTGCTCAAGCCAGTTTACTTTATAAAAGGTAAGAGATTGGTCTGTAGGTCAATTGTGGATGCATTCTGAGTTGTCCATTACAGGTATCTGTTAACTAATGATGGAGTTTATGCATGAGCATTTGCCTCAGGAATCTCTCAGATCTGAAGCATCAGTGTTGTTGCTATGAAAAGGGCAATGGTGATTTAAAAATAATATTTGAATTTCTGTTGAGGATAGACATACCCAATTGCTGATATAGCATTGTGATTAAGAGGCTAAGATTTGATTTAGTGTAATTAAGATACTGTACTTCATTTATGGACAGGGGGAGGAATTCCTCAGGAGTTGCAGAACTCCACTATAATTTTAACAAATTGCATTCTTAATTTTTTTTTAGAATGTTTCAGATGGTTGTTTTGGTGAATGTGTGGAAGGAATAATGCCTTTTCACATGAAGTTGATCCTTAGATCATTGGTGCTTCCAGATAGAGCTTTTATTGTGCAGACTCCTTGCCTTGTTCACACAATTTAATGAGGAGGGGGTCCAGATATTGTCTTCCATTCCAAATCCTTGTTTTTCTGTTTATCTTTTTTCTAAGTACTTAGTTATCTTTTAAAGAAGGAAAAATGGGATGTGAATATAGCACCTTTGGAATGATAAAAATAGAAGCTCTTTAGAAGAAGGAAAGTTGAACATATTTCCCAGAGTAGCAAGTCATAATGGTTTTCTTTCCTAGATGAAATGAGATGCACTACAGGACAACCATCTCTCACCCCCCGCTTCTATCAGTGTAAGAAAAAGGTTTTGGCCTCACCTGCTGCTGTGTTAATTTTCTATGAATAAGGAATTTATGAGGGGAGATTCCAACACATGCTTTGTAGTAGTACAGTTGCAGAAATCATCATTTTTGCTGAAAGCTCTGATTGGCCCTTTGGTTGCAAAATTAAATGATTTTTGTGATTATTTTTCCAGACTCTTTGGATTAATGAAAGCCTTAGTCAATTCACCACATTCATTAGCTGAGTTCATAATATGAGTGCAAATTTTGTGGAATTTGTTTCCTAGGTGGAAAGTCATGAATACCTTGTGAAACCTTCCATTGACCCCAGCCTTGCTGAATTGAGAGAAAATATGGATAAGCTGGAAGAAAAAATGCAGGGTGTGCTGAAAACTGCCGCCAAGGAACTAAGTATGTTGGAGGGTGGGAATTATTTTAACATGAAGTACTTTTAAGTTTGTTGATTATTTTTCTCCTTTGAAGTTACTATCAATATTGGCTTGCTTAAGACAGCTTCACAGCCTAAAATGCAGTGCTGCCTGTCAGCCTTCTCCAGCCTGGGGGTTTCTGGGAGTTGTAATCCCAGTCCATCTGGAGGCACCAGATTAGGTAAAGCTGCTGCATATTGCTACTTTTAATCTGTTCTCAGAAACCTATGAGGGTTTCTTCAATAAGAAAGGCAGATGAGCTTTCCCACTGCTACTAATATTTACTTCAAGCTTTAGTCACTTTCCAAATTCTGCTAGCATCCTGCTTTTATTCACTGTGCACGTACAATGTGCATAAGCTTTCTTAGACATACATAAGCTTTCTTAGACAT